GTTACTAGCATGGGGTACCTAATAAAGTGGCCGGTGAGTGTACATTTGCTAGTTGCAACACAGAAAACAATGCATTTAAAGTGACTTTTATTCAGTTTTGATCTTGTGCTTGTTTAAATTACTTTTGTCAGGAAGACGCTAGTTAGTTTATCACAAACATAGCAGCTCAGGCAAAATGTGAGGAGCAGGCCTACTGATTGGTTAGTTTATTAAAAGGTTGTTCACCTGAAATGTCCTGTGCTCGAAATGATTAGAGGTATCTGTCCACATAGGGCTACATGAAGAGGTTTATCTACATGCTGTCTGCCCATTCTGAAATATTTCTATTCAACTGGTAAATACATACTCTGGAGGCTTCATGGAAATGTTAATTATTTTGAATTGTAGCATGATATTGGATGTTTAAGAAAGGAACAGGAAAACTTCAATTTAGGAGATTCAGAGAGCCAAAGGACTTTTGACTGTAACAGACGGTTAAGTACCAGTAGAAAAATAAACCTAAACACACAGCCGAAGATACAATGGTCTCCTATCGACCAAACCACATGCATGTACCATAGCATGGCCCATTCAAAGGCCAGGTGTAAATGATATGGAGAATTGACAGCGAAGCTTGAAAAGTGGATGCTAAAGTGGATGCTAAAATTCTCTTTCTTTGCTCTTAAAGCATTGAAAGTTGGTTCAACCAAACCTAAATGGGGGAGGAAACACATCTGCAAATCTCTCTTTTTGTCCGCAGCGAGGGGACATTCTTGTTCATCAAATTCTAATTATTTAGATAAACATATCAGACCTCTTAGGGTCTTCCTAGAGAACTAAACTTCAATTATCAGTCGGGGAATTCTAAATAAATCAGATGGATATAAAGGCAAACATCCTCACCAAAGTTTACACTCAATTCCAATTGGAAAGCAGTATAGATAAATCTGGGCTTACGTTTACTTAAATTCTTTTTCTAACCCAAGAGCTACATACTTACAAATCTGAGTAGGGCTCAGATCTTGAACTAAACATCAATTTTCAACCTCTTGTTTTAATGCTTGCATGGTCAGACTTCTTGAGGTGTGTATATATTGATTTTAGAAAGAATCAAAAAACCCACATGAGGAAAGGTTCTATGAAATAGCTTGGGCTATAAACGCCAAAGTTTTTTTTTTTTTTTTTATTAAAATGTGATTCTCATCTGATAAATAAACAACATAGAACATGAGTTGAATCTTTGTTCACATGGGAACATTTTTCTATAATTTTTGTAAGACTTTCCCAGATAAGGGAAATGTTACAATCTAAAAAAACAAACACAATGAAGCAGGTTTTAACAAACTGCATCTACCTATTAAACTGTAAACCTAAAATGCATTTCTTTTCCAGAGATGATGACATTTTGATAGATACTTAGATAAGATTTATCTCAAGTACCCGTAGGAAGCTATTTCCCAGACCCTCCCAGAGCTCAGTTCATTAGCTTGCATATTCAACCACCAATAAGAGCTAAGGGGCTGTGGGGTGATGGGAATAGAGACGGATACCTGGCTCAATATTAAGGAGACTGCTTGTTCAAGTGGCAGGTACTGCTTCAGCCTCCATGCTTGAATTTCTTATCCTACTCCTCAAACCTCAGAATAAACACCTTTCCCTGAGGGAGTGCCCAATGCTGGTTCCTTCTACTAATTACCCATGGGTCCCACAAATGCTCCAGCTGGTTGGCAATGTGGGAACATTGCAAAGGCAGGAGATGCAGCAGCAGCAAAAACAGCTAAGGAATCTGACTAGGAAGAGGAATCTGATTAAAAGTTTAACATTGCTTTCCAGGTCAAATAGAGGAGAATTCAGAAGTTCCGTTTTAATCCTCTCCGGTACATTTTGATTGGAGCTTCAAAAAAATGAATACTTTAAATCAGTTTATTATCTTCATCTCAGCAGACTATGACTAACCTTGTGCCTCCATAAAGGCGTCTTACATACAGTTGTCAGAAAGAGGTCTCCCAGAAGACAATGCAGAACACATGTCAAAGACAAATTCATTGATCATTTTGACACAACTGTTTGCTGAGCAGCTTAAAAGATTGGCAGCTTGACAGCAGAACGGTTGACACTAATTGATCGATCAGCGCTTAACTAGAGGAGACCTCTGACTAACATGAAACTTCAATTGCCTACAAATGAAGTGACGCGTTTTCTGACTTGTCCTTGGTTCCGAAAACAGTTTTCGCACTCACCGTCTCGTCCACGTCGATCCGGCATTGTCTTAGAAGGGCCAGAGGAGACATACAGAAAGCCATCCATGAAGAGGGACACATCAGGGAAAGAAGACTTCTCTGACCACTGACCCAGTCTTGGGAAATCTACAAGGAGGGACATTAGACATAACCGCCATTAGTTTCAAAATATCCCATGCAATTCCTCAGCTCTGCCCTCAAATTTCCTTTGGGACTGAGATCAGGGTTCATTCCTTTATGAACAACATTCTCATTAAGCCACTTTGTGACTCTTTTGTTGTGTCAATCATCCATCATTCCATGTCGATGATTACACATACATATAGGTTTAAGACAAAAACACAAACACAAAATGCATATTTAGATTTCTAGCTCTTTGTACTCAACTATTTTTAAGAAACAAGAAAGAACTATCCCAAGAGATGACCTTTTTTCCCCAGCTGTCCTTTTTAGAATGACTGATATGATTTTTACATTTTTCCACTTTTGTTATTTTTGATTTGTGCTTTCTTAAAAAGCTGAATTTTTTTTTTTTTTATTTAAAAAGGCTTACTTGCCTTTATTTAGGACTTTCTTTGGGACATTAATAGACTAAATATTCAATTTATATGAGAGGGAAATTGTTTGTTTGAATCAGCTATGAGTAGACATTTTGAAATATTTCGTTTGGGGTTTGGTGCACTTGAGGTTAGATTAAAATCATCTAAGAAAATGGCAGAATCGTTTATGTTGTTGAGTAGCGGATGTCAAAACAGGTGTCATAATATATTCATTTTAAAGGTTAGCAAGAAAAAGTGATAAAAATCACAGACATTGACTTAGAAACATCCATTTCTGTTGTCTGTTTTATCCAATTGTACTTTAGGTTTTAAAACATTTCTATTGACATATACAGAACAAGCATAAAAGTCAGTACCATTTGATCTGATGATTAGTGACTATTGACTTGGCGGTAAATACGTAAATTCTTTATATTTTTATGCAGGTGACATGGTCTTAAAAATTATTGACCTTCAACAGTATTTGCAGACCAGCCATGTTATATTCCCAACTTGCCCTTAAGCAAAAAAGTGAATCCCTACCAGATTCCTGAATACTGTTCTTGAACCAAAGCCCTACCTCCATGTAGAGATGTTTTTTCCCTTTGGCCTGGAAAAAGCAGCACAGGACCACCTTTTCAATCACAAGCAGCATACAGGGATCATATAAGATTCTAGTTCATTTTGTAGAGACTTTGTCACATGGTCCTACTTTTGCAAAGGCAAAGATGGGGTGTTCAAAGAGTGTTTATCTGGCGATCTTTAAAGCATGACTTTTTACTCTGTGTCAATAAGAATATGAAGCATTCCAATCTAGCACTCCTTAAGATGAACTCCCTTTACTCATCCTTTTTTTTGCCAGCTTTAAGAGCTCCCCACATCAGCCTTATCATTCTCAAATTCAATTAGTTTTCATTCTGAGGTCCAATTTACCTACAGAGCATTATTAATATCTTTGAGATTTTATCTTGGGCACATACAGCTCTCTCACCGAGCAAGGTAAAATAGCTAATTGAAACCAGTTTTGCTGAACCGACGTTTCCACCTTTGATGACATCTCAGAGGCCTTGTCTCATGGCCATGTGCCATTCGTAGGAGAAATAAAGAATCTGTTGATCAACATGGCTCATCTTTATTTTCGTTGCAGCTTCATTATTGTCTCAAGTGATATCAATTTATAGTTATATCAAGGTAACAGCAAAGCCCTCTTTAACATATGAGAAAAACAAACCAAAAAACAGATGGATCATGCACCAAACAAGCATGTACTTTGCCCATAATCAACTTCAAGACCTTCTGGAAGACCACTGGGCTAGGGACACTGATGGACATTCCTATGTTTGAACATAATCTTTATCACAGACAATTCATGATTTTAACAGAAGTCTGATAATGTAACACAACTACATTTCAGAACTGGGGGTTAATTCCTTCTGAACATGCCCCTCTAGATGTCACTGAAGTTTCCCTTACAGTATTTAAAATGCCCGAGCAGAATTCTGTAATTCCTGAAAAGGCCAATATTCAACACCCCACCACCACGAGGGATGCTAAGATGGCTCTTACTCTGTACTGAGGTTCGGGCCACAGGCTAGGCTGAAACAACATTCAGAGAAGACTAAAAACCCTCTGATCCACTGGGGTAAAACCAACATGAGACGGCTATGCTTGGGGATGAAACAAGCAGAGGTATCGTCAGCCTCCGCCTCTACCTGCAAGGCACTCCGGAGTAGAAGAGATTACAGCCTGTCTAAAGGAGTGGGGATCAAGAACCCAGGTTATAAGTTGGTGAGCTAGACTATTTATAGCTAATAATGCTTCACCTACTGTAAAAGCTCAAACTTACCCCACCCCCAGCGAAGGGACGAACCTTGTCCCCAAAACCAGTTTAGGCATTCATAGATCAGGTCGCCTCTACCTCTGATTGTTGTCCAGTACTCCTTGTACTGGTCCCTAGCTGTTTACCTTACTGGTGAGGTGTCACATAAGGAGTAACCTGACCACCAGGTCCTTCTTGATTAACCCATACCCCATAAGCACTGAGCTTGGGGAAAGTAAAAAAAAGAAAAAAGAAAAAGAAAAGCCTGTTCTTTAGCGACCACACGGGTGACTTATGTATTCACTCTGGAATTTTTGTAGTTCAACACAGCCCCCAGGTTCTTCACAGTTCTTGGGTTTCTCCAATCATAAATTAAGAATACCACTGTATTTTTCTCCAATTTTTAAGCTTAAAGACAAGTCTTGTAATACCTCTTTTGGGATGGGAAGATTTCACAGATTTAATTATTCATTTACTAATTCTCTTTGTTTACTTTTTCTTTTGAGGTGGCACAGACTTCTTTTTGGGTTAGCTCATGGATGCCTCCTTTGGAAGATGTTAGAGGCATGTCCCCCTGAGAGGATTCCAAGGGGAAAACACAGGACATGCTGGATAGACTATATTGTCTTGGACTGCCTTGAGCTTCCCCAAATAGAGCTGGAGGAGGTATCTGAGGAGAAGAAAGTCTGGTAGTCTCTGCTGAGACTGCTGGCCCCCTTGTCCCAGATGAAGCAGAAGATGATGATTCAAGTATGAATTATATTTAGATTGGTGCTATTTGTTGTTTTAATGAGATCTTCTAACCTACTTTATGTGGTCACATGGGTGACTTCTAAATTCTGCATGTGTCCTGTCATATTGAACAGAATCAAATGGGATAATTCCCAATATAGTTATTTTTTTAGTTTAATTTTGCAAAAGCCAAATATAGCTTAGACAGATTTTATTTTGCACTATATATGAAATATCTTAAAAACTGCCATCAGTTATTATAACAATTTAGAATAAGCTCAGAGTAAAATTATTTTCTATGTTCATACTGATCTTAGTAAAAACTTAAATAACATAATTAGAGAAATCAAAAACCAGAAAAAAACTTTTTTCATGGCTTAGTAGAATTAAACCCTAAATTTTTAACAATGAAATGCAACCAAATTAGTATAAAACACATTCACAAACAAACTGAAGTGTTTCCAACCACTCAGGTTGACAGAATGTAAATAAGCCAGTGGCTTGATGCTGTATCAGTTGTAACAAGGCTCTCTCTGTGAGCATGCTTAACAACCCCTCTGGGCCCCTAAAGCTAGACTCTGTTAGGATGGGACTGTGTTGTCTGCGGGGGTAGCAGTGGAGGAGTCTGGCCTGTGCTGATTGGCTCACTCCCCTGTGAAGGGAGGTGACATGATAGAGTGCTCAATTAGCCATCTGCTCGCCCACGGCTGCAGTTACAAAGCGGGCTTCGATAGGCAGTGGACAGCGGGGGTAATCAGAGAAGCTTGTTCGCACTCGTGCATTTACACGCAGACACACAGTTAATACGCAAACAGACAACACAGGCAAGAGGAGCAAAGATAATACACAGCATAGGCAGAAGATGAGAGGTAGAAACAACAATTTGTGCATGTTATAGAAAAAAAGATTGATCTACAGTTTCCAATGACCTTTTTACCTTTTGAGTATATTCAGATTTGCAATTATTGAATCCAAAACAGTACCTGGGGGTACAATTTTTTTTTTGTGCTTGTCAGCTCCTCACCCTTTAGATGTCAGTTTATAGCATATAGAAATGATCTGTGCAAAAACAGTGCTTCTCAATATTTTTTATTGTCTAAATTTAGGAAATGTCAAGATGTTTTTAGCTAATTAATTAACTTAATGTTGCGCAGAATTGTGAAGTTGCAAATCAGATTACATGGTATTCTCTTAACAAATGAATATTAAACCTATGGTATGCATTTGATTCTTACCTCATTCAATCAATAGTTTATAGGATCATTACATATGGAGTCATTACAATGGAATAATGACTCTATTACAATTATGTCATTACAATGGATTACAATGGAGTCTATGGAAGACTCCACTACTTCCTGAACTTAAAGCAGCTCCTTTGTTTTCAGTCTTTCTCTTTGGGATGAACTGATGAATCCTGGTGTGCCTGAACACAGTTACCATAACAACAATGGCCAGACACAGTTAGTCCAGTAATGAAAAGCCAGAAACAAAAGAAATGTCTTAAGTTTAGGAAGTAGTTGAGTGTTCCACGGAGCCCAATACATCTGTAAGCCTGCCACCAAACTTCTAATTTTCTTTAAAGACGCTTTGACACCGTCCAGTACTCTTTGTAAATTCTGTTGGCTTGCACCACAGCAATCTGTCAGACCAACCATAGACCAACTATGGATTGCTCTGTTGCGAGCCAACAAAATTGACAAAAACTCCTGGATAGGTGTCAAAACTTCTTCAAAAAAGCTGAGGGACAGTCTGGTTGCCTTTGAATGTAAGCATATTTTGAGGTTAACACATTAATACAGTTTGATCTCAAACACTTCAACATAACTGCAAGGTTTTAATCCTGCCAAAACATAAATCTATGTCATATTTCACAGCCTGTAATATGTTTTGTTTCAGGTTAACTGTCACCGGAAAAGGTATACTCTAGGGATCTCTTCAAAAGTGGCTTTGTCTTCTTGCCTTTTTCAAAAAAAAAGAGTCGGATTCGGATTGGACTGCATATTAGCAGCTCTAGCAATAGGCCCCATCCACCC